CTCGTGGTGGTGGGGGGTTGTTTACAAAAATGAGAAGGTGAAAAGCTGATATCCGGCGCTTTAGCCGGATCCCAAACCAATGATGCACATGGGCTCCAGTATCCTGAAGGAACAAATGACGTATGAACCAATCGTTGGTCACCGGCTACCATGGGATTGCATCTCCTCGCGATGCTCCACTACCTTGTGGGTCAGACCTTTAAGCCAAAGGCTCGGGGTGTAGCCCCCTAAGAAAACCACCTGCTTCGGTCTGGGCACCCGGGCAATATCACAGCCCACACACAAATCAAATGAGATTTGTGTGGCGCATATATATTTGGTGCCGCCTTGTACCAACTTTTATGTGTGTTCATAGGATCATTGTATTTCTATGATCATTCTATTTATAAATTATAATTAGCTAACATAGCTTTAATCACATTTTAAGGTTTGACATGATAAAGTTTGATTCCTTTAATAATAAGACTAATGACAATTTCTTTAATATCTATTTGTTACGTAAAACGTCCAGTCAGTATTATTATATAAAGATTTAAAATTGTCATAATCCATTCGACTTAAAAATAATCCAATTTTGACAGAAAGAGACTGACTACATCATCCGCTTAGCACCATTCTCCTTTAATAATCCAATTAAATTCATATTACATTGGAACCAAATTATTTAGTATTAGTTAATTAGACGAAATGAACAATGAACCATTCGCTTATTGTTATTATTTATATTTAGTGAGTATATATATAAATAAATATCCGATATATATAAATTAGGGTGAAATATTACAACAATGGCACGTGTCACATTTTTTTATAGAAAAACAATCATATGCAGAATTACCATGTAATCCTCAAATCAATAGTAGTTTATTGAATCATAAACAGTATGTTTACAGTGGTTATAGCATATAAACTGGGGGGGGGGGTGATTAAGAGTTATTTGTTTATAAATGTATACAATCATTGAATGAAATGACAAGATGAATATATATTGAATAGGTAAAAGACAATGATCTACTTATTATTTGTATTACAAAAAAAAAACAACAAAATATTTACTCCACTTACTTTCAATTTAATAATTACATAACATATCATATACACTTAAACAAAATAATAAATAGTGAATTAAGGTGAAATGATTTCACGCTTGATATATTGAATTTATCTATTCATTATCAATCAGTACCTATTTCTTCATGTTAATCCTTATTGATAATTTCACTCACATCCAAAATAATAAAAGTATATATATCATTGTATACAATAAAAGATTAAACAAAAGGTAAAGAAAGAAAATAATAATAAGATTTATGTAGAATATTTATAAAGACTAATTGTTATGAAAAATCAATTTTCTTTCTTTTAAGAAAATTAATTGACACACGCGTGCGAGACTGATGGGTCCTAGGTTTGAATCTCGCGGGGGGGGATCGTGGATAATGCACTGTTGAAAAGTTCCATACTAAGATGAAATGGCCATCTAGTGCTTCCAGGTGTTCCATGGTAGTCTAGTTTCAATTGACTCATGATTTTAACAATTGAAATATATCATATGGTTAATTATAAATACTTACTATTCACCAATTAAAAATAATGGAATAATCTTGAAAATGATAATTGTCAAATGATTTTATTGATAGTTTTATAATTTATTGATTGAGATCATGAACCGATTGACGTTAGATCATCATTGAAAACCTGAAAGCACTGGACGGCCGTTTCGTCCTAGTATGGAAAACCTAAGCAGTGTGCATCCATGATCCCGCCCTCCGAGAGACTCGAACCCAGGACTTATCAGTCTCGTGCAAGGGCGCTTAACCATTGGACCACTGAGCCGGCTGACTGACCTCAGGAGACACTCCTGGAGTTTTAGTGATAAGCCATGACCAATGGAGTTCAACCAGGTCTGTTGTGAGATATTAACTCACTGAAAACAATGGTGGACGGTGGTGCAATTTCGTGGATTGGTTGAAGTTAGACATTGACACCACCAGATGCCGGCTGAGTGGTCTAATGGTTAAGCGCTCACACGCAAGACTGATATGTCCTGGGTTCAAATCTCACGGGGGGCGGGATCGTGGATACGCACTAATAAGGAGTCCCATTACAAGGACGAAACGGCCGTCCAGTGCTACCAGGTTTTCCATGGTAGTCTAGCTTCGATTGACTCATGGTTTTAACTGATATTTGCCTATGATTATAGAAACATTTATTTTATCAACACAAAACGTTGTTTCAATATCGATGTATTTATTCCAAGTTGTATAGAAAGAAAGTACAGCAAAATAGCGGTTGGTTTACATTATCAGATAATTTATTTTTGTCTTCTCCTATTATCCATTCAGATTAATTATTTTTTAATCTACATGTCGTCATTACTTATCTAAAGAAATCAGCCTTTGATAGACTAAGTTAATTGAAGTATTTTTTAATAACAAATTCTTATCATCTTAATAAACCCGCTTATCTAGACTTCAGACAAGCAGTAGGTAACTTTATTTACTAGTGTTATTATTTCGTCTAGTCAAAAAATATTTTCCAAGACAGTATTCTACATTAGATGACGTTGTGATATGATACAGGATGTACTGTGCAACGTATTAGGTCTTTTAAATTTATACATGTTTACATTTCTGTCAACAGATTAACCTCATTCGTCTAATAATACATTTCTAGTCATCAAATCCCTTCATGCACGAATTACCCAAAAGTATTTATAACCGATCGCATATTTGTTTATTCTGCCTTCAGTGTCAACATTTTAGATTAGTAAGGTAGGATAAACTAGAATGATGTGCAATATAAGCGCCTATTGAAAGTCGAATATTTTATCAACGCTATATGCTGGTAAGTGTCAAATTATGGTGTCGGATATATTGGCATTAATCTAACGATTCAGTATTAAAGCAACTATTTCGCATACTATTTCTGCATAAGATATCGAAAAGGACTAATCCTAAAAGTTAGCATCACAGGTAAGTAGGCCAATTTCTAAAACCCTGAGGTAAAAGAGTCACATTCATCAGTGTAAGGCAATACATGTTATTCCAAATGGCCGCTGAGTTGATGGAAGAATTTTAAAAAGAGCTAGCAGATAGATAAATTCGCTTATTACTTGTGTAAATGTTACAAGTCCTTCTTACTAATAGGAAAAATTGCTTTCTTTGAATAAATGAAAATAGTATTAGGAATCGGTACGTTTGTTTATTTTAAAAGATTTGGTCGATGAACGTTTATAGACGTCTAAAACTTCCGGATTTGTTGTCCCAGAACTGAATATAAGCATCAGATGACCACAAACTATCACAATGTTAGAATCTGAGTTCATTCCTCTTGGATTAAGTCATGAAGAGACTGTAATTGTACTACCGTATTACAGTCACTAAAGTGTAAGAACGAAGGAACCCATTAATTAATTTAGTCAACATTCTACTGAAATTTTTTTAGATAAGATAACTGTAATATGTAAAGCTCAAGTTTGTCCAAAATTTAAATGTATCGTATTTAGTTGATAAAGTTGAAGAGAAATCCATCGTGTTTATGATATCTCTTTGAAAATACTGTATATTGTCAACCTGTTTTTATGAAAGACATTCACTTGACTAGAGTTGTCTAAACCTTAATAAACCTAGGTTTAACATAGTGTTGAGTCGATAAATAATCTGGAAATCAAATATATATGAATGTAACATACATATTTTGTAGCAAAGAAATAAGTCAATTTTTCTACACAGTAGCTTAATTGTTAGAAGTTGAATCATTAAACAAGTTAAAACTAGATCTATAACAGTAAACAGTTATGTTACCAAACTTCTTAATAGAAAAAGAGCTGTTGATTCACCGGTTCTATGGCTAGAGAGTTATTTATAAGTAACAACGAAAGAATTATACAACACACAAGTATAAGATTATGTACACCCAGATAGGGTAGTTATTCATTTTCATAATTCGTAGTAACATTGATTTAGAACTTAAAAATCTACGACCTACAAATTTAATGGTATTCTCGTAATACCACAAGTTAGTCATCTAGCTAAGAGTAAGAAGTAGAATTTTCAATGTTAATTCAACATAATTGTATTCGTTTTCCGATTCTCTATCGGTTTCTATTCGGTTCAAAATAATTGACTCCTTAAATTCTTCCCTTAAAATTTGCCTTGAAGCAATATGTAATTTTTGCACAACCAACTAAGTATTTGAGAGGCAGTGTTCTAGACGATAAAATAATAGGGTGAATTATTTCTATTAGGGGGAAAATGAATTGAATTAACTGCAGTATCATTGTCCAAAAAAAATCTTGAAGAAAAACAACATTACTACTCTTTAGAAAATTAAGTAGGTAAAATGTGTATAGGAATTTTATCAAGACGAGCTTCGAAGTAGTTCAAAATAAAATTGGTTATGTATTTACCAATTTAGCTCTATTTCTAACGATAACCTAAGCCATCCCAACTTAAAAAGTACTGGCTTTGGTAAGGTTTTAAAATTAACTTGTCATTCATCCTACTTAGTTTTCAAAATGAGAAGAGATCAATAAGTTCGTTTATAACTACATTGTTTGTAATGGTTCTTAGGTTCATTAGTGAAGCATCAAGAATCCTCACCTATAGACATGATGTTATTTTTGACGAAGCATGAAGAATAAAACTCAATTTGGGGTTTTATGTCACTAGTTCATTTACATAAACAATTAATGATGTACTTTATCATCTTCTGATCAAAACTTCATTCACTCATTTTCGGCACATAAAATGTATATCGTCAAAAACTAAAACCCTTATGTATAACGGAAATTATCCCACTTATACAGACGATTTGTTCAGTAGCGGCAGAACAATTGGAAACATAAAGATCAAGTGCATGACATATTGTAGTGTCACGGCTCACTTGACACTCAATTGTTGACTACCAAGTTTCAGACCCAGATCCTTGAACTTGGATTTGGGGAAACGAGGTGAGAAACAATCTGTTCTTCACGGAAAAAAATGAGACTCGAAAATGTGCATACAAATCTTAAATTTATCTTTGGGTGGCAGTACATTAAACTGACTGAAAACAATCTGTGAAACCATAACGTGTTATTCGAAATATGAGATGCATAAATCAGTATGAATTTGATGAGCAAATAAGTTGTATTAGATTACACTATATATTCATTGATCGAAGTGTGCATTAAAATCTTGTTTGTACATCAGAAAATGACGGCGACTGGTGATAGCCTGATCCAACCATATAGCTTCGAGGAAAAGATTGTTTCTGAGAGCGTACAGCTCAGGAAGTTTTAATTTCTCACAAGTATTGGTACTGTTGACTGAACATGTTCTGTTCTTTCCAAAGTGATTAAACGTGTATTGAAACTGACTTAAATTATCTTCAGATTCACCACATTCAGATACTATATTTCGAAAAATTTGTAAAGCTTTCTTGAACCTTGTGCGCGCCAAAATACCTCGAATATGAGCTTGGAGCTTGACTATACTCTGTATTTCCGCTTCAAAAATTAAATAAAAATATGTAACAACTGCATACCATTTGAAAGATCGCGCATTACATAACACGGTTTTAATGAACGACACGGAGACACTGGTTAGCAAAGACAAGACCCAGATTTTCCTAGCAAGAATCCAACTATACTTCAAGGCTTTTGTAGTGAAATCTATAATTAAACACAGGATAAGTTTTTATAGCATCAGGTGAATTCACATAAGTCTTAAAACAGTTATCAAATAAAGCCTTGTAGAAGAAAAAACATTAGGATTTGAGTTATAGATGTATTACACGGCTGTTAATAATTGTTTTGATATTTCCATTCAATTGGACTATAAATGTTATCCCACCACCTATATTTTTCTAATAATTGACCTATTTCCGATTACGTAACATTGATTTGACCCTTTATTATTCTTATCAAAACTAGTACAAGTGTCATCACACTATCAATTTGTACTTTTCACTTATTATGCAATCGTTTTCATTATTATCACTGACTCATAAACTACCTTGATTGGTTTAATAATTTCGTACATGTATATAAATATTACTGTATATTAGAGTAAAGCCTGATGAGGATCTATTCGAAAACAATATTGTTCGCTTATATATGTTGTTCTAAATTTACAATATAGGAATATTTCAAATTAGATAAGTGTCAAAACTGACCATTCTACAAATATATCTTCGAGGTCAGTTATGTTTAAAATGTTATGATGTGCAACAGCTGTAGAAACTAAGCGATTTTTATACGGAGTTTACCTGTATCGTACCTCATAGAACTACGATTTCTCATTTTCTGTCACTTTATTAACGTGTGGGCTTGGAAGATTATTGAATCTACAAGTCAATTCGGCGCAATGCTCATCAAGAAGAGTTCCAATCTTTAGTAAACCCGCTCGATAATAAGAACTTTTTGAATACGGAGGTCTTCAGTTGTTCCATATAGGTTTGTTTTTACTTAAAAAGCCATTTATTACTAGCAAATATCGAAAAAGAAACGCCTTTATTTAAATCCTATTATTTAAAGCTAAATCATGTCCAAACATTGCAAGTAATACACCAATCACGAACATATGAATATTTGAAACACTGATAGGTAAATTTTATTTTTACATATTTTAACAAAACACTTTGCAAACCAACATTAGTAAATTTAAGACAAACTGGATAAAAAATGAGGGTCGACAGTTTCATACCTTAAAACAGTGGAACAAGAAATAAAAAATAAGAAAACAGCAAATGCTTCACAGTCTAGTGAGGTAGGAGTGAAATTAATATTTTCTTTACAGACAACTAAAAGTGATCAAGTATTTTCATTTTAGAAAAGTAAATTCCATTCAATTACTTTAAAATAGAAGTGTATTTCCACCTCGGATTTCTAAAATGCAGCATTCCACTGAAATTAAATTTATAAAGCAGTGAAGTTAACTTCGAAAAAGGAGGGTGAAACAAGATAAGAACAACGTCAAACGGATACAGAAGTGCACATATACTTGACCTCTGTAGTTTGATCCTTGGTAAACGCTAGTCAATGTCCTTAAGTGCATCACGATATTTGTTTATTTATTTAAAGACATAAACATTGGTACAAACGGGCACCGAATACATATGCACCACAAAAGTCACTCGATTTTTGTGAGGGCTGGGATGTCGCTTGATTGCTCAAACCAAGCAGGTGGTTTTCTTGGTGGGCCACACCCCAAGTCTTTGACCTAAAGGTTCAATCCACAAAGTAATGGAGATGCAGTCTCATGGTAGCTGGTGACCAACAATAGTTTTATACACCACTTATTTCCTTAGGATTCTGGTGCACATGTGCATTATCGGTTTGGAATCAGGGTTTTCCAACTCCCCTAGGTGGATCATCCGTATCCACTACGATATACATAGATTGGAAGGTGGAGACAAGCATATAACTAGAAATGTTGAGTTATCCTTCGTAAATACATTTGGAGATCTAAAGTATTTTGGTGGGACTAAACTTGAAAACTAAAACAAGCTGTCACACAGTTATTACAAAGGGATTTAGGATAACTGGCATCATGGCTGATGTCAGTTCGTGATGTAAACCCCATATATAATTTCTAACTAAGGCAAATTATGGCAATTATCGCGAACTGGATAATAAAAGCATCAGTAACACTGGCTGTAGCCAAGTACTACAATATATATGGATGGTCGGAGAGCGTACAGACTCCTACGTAGGCTTGGTTATGTGCATCGTGTCGTTATACACAAGTAGCATTTTGTGTACTCAACAACCGGAGTACGCATGAACAATATTGAAACTATTTGGTCGAGGCTGAAAGAGTTTTTGAGACTTTATCATGGCTTCAGAGGCCGACTATTCTGTAGCCATATGGATGATTTCTTCTACTGTATGCGTTACGATTTTAGAACCTCTGAACCTTTTTCTAACTTTGACAAGTTTTTGAACAACGTATAAGAAGTTTATCTACTTTGTTTTCTCGGCTTTGTATAATATATTTTTACTCTATATTTACTGTTTGCTGATTGTCTAATATTCTCAAGGTCACTAAAGATCCGTTCAAAGATCCTCCATAAAGTAGTCTCGCCATTTATCTTTGTAGCCAACAAAACTTTTCTACTACCCAAATACAAACTTTAGGCAACAAATAACCCAATCTCCCAATTTCAAGGTAAGTTTTATTTTTTTGGGAAGCTTTAATGGAACTGGCACAAAACACCTGAAGTTTACCCAGGTTTGAGGAAAATTCCCATGTTTTTGGAAAGAAATTCTGGGATTTCCCCAATATTTCTCCAGAATCTTATGATAATTCGAGGTTTTTAGCAAAATATTGAGAATAACTACCACATTTTTTACGAATTTCAGGGAAACCTTAAGATTTATCCAAAATTTTGCCAAAACAAGGAAATTGAGGATAAAATATTCCATAAAGTAAATTTATTGATGAGATCTTTTACCATTCTGAACATTCAATAATTAAAAAAATCATATTTTTATTATAAACCATTATTGCTTTCAAGATCGAAATGGACTATAACCTACGCTTATCAATGCTTGTGACGAAGTAAGACTGCCTTTTGTTGAGTGCGCCAAACGTCTTGAGTTGGCATTAGTAACTAATTTCAATCTTAATCCATACTTGAGAGGTATTTAAACAAAAACCAGTAACATTGTTTTGTGAAGGCCAAATTTGAACCTTGAATGAATTCTTTGAATGTTTTCCTGATCTCAATTAGTCATCAGAGATCAGGTGTATTTACTGACTGTAGAATACATCAAATCGAAATACAACATCTAACTTGCAAACTTCGATCGCTTCTGGGTTTTGGGAAAATCTTTATCTGGTGGTCAATAATATTCCTTGCTGAACACTATACTTCTGAAGAAAGACAATGATTTGCACCCTGACGGTTATCATGGACGACATAAGCCACTTCAGACACTTATATATTGATGCACATCTGCAATTTGTAGGTTACTTTGAAATATATGACCGTATTTTTGAAACGCCGCCTAGCAATAGCTTACACTTGAATCCTTATTATCGACATAGCACCATAGAACCGTCCGTTTTTATTTCGCTATTGACTGATTAACTTTTTCTATTGATAAAATTATCAGAATAGACTGTGATATGAGGAAAGTGTTTAATATGCTCAAAATTAACTGTCTTTGAGTACAACCTTAGGATTACCATTGTAAATATATTTGATACAGATGTTTATTCTAAACGTTGATGATATATTTCGAGTTATTGGGGGCCCACATGATTTAGAAGGGAATGGTGTGACCAACAGCTAACCCCAAAGTTATACCTCTCGGTCGGCATCTAACGTGGATTACTTATTAATCGTCTGGAGGTACTATGGATCTTTCGATGACCGTACAACACAAAGGACTTTATTACAAAATTATATCAGTTAGAGAAGATACAATCAAAAGTGAGACCACCACTACAACGACCAGTCCATGGCGTGAGATTATTTGATGTGCGCTGGTCGTCCTTGATCTTGACGGGAACCGATGAACCGTTCGTTCTTCAATGACCGAATGATTTGTCTAAGGCTCAGTGAAATTTCACTGGCCCTACACAACATTCATTATAGTTTACCAATGACGGATAATCAACAACTGTTATTCACTCAAATTCTTCCGACGACGATCGTAATATATACAATCAATGTGAAACACATAGTTACGCGCCAAGGATTCGTGATTTATAACAGGTGCATATCTTTTACATACTTCGTTGAAAAGACCCAACAAGCACTGCCGAGAGTCCTGACAATTCTTTAACAAACCCCTTTTACTTCATATTTACTCCATATTTCCCGAACGAACAATTTGTAGATGGTGCCTTGTGATTGGTAAGATCATTGAGTCTTTTCTAAAGAATTGATCTAAATAAAATGGTCGGTTATTGAAAACTATACAACTAGCCAGTTAGAAATAAAAAATTCTAGCTTTGCCTGACTAGAAAAGGTAAAAATGACAATGATTTGGTTCATTCAATGGTAAAATTTATCAAAATAAGTACTAAGCGTATCATCTCAACGTATTCAATACGTTCAAACAAACATCAAGCTCACCGACCGGTAATTCTGCTTGCCTGAAAGCTGTATAAATGGCAAAATCATTAAGGTAATAAGACATTAAATATCCCAAAGAGTTTCTTCGCGATAGATGTTCGTTGGATTCATATTCATCAAAATAGTAAGCTACCTACCGGAATTATGTTTTTATATTCGTTGATCGTTTCGTGCGACATGCTACATGTATATTAATACGAAGACTTTAACGCGCTCTTCGGATGATTAATCTCGAACTGTAGTTTGAAAAAACAGCCCACAAGTCAGCAGTGTACATGAATGATTTCGCTGACAATTGGAAGTTTCCCTTTTACCTGTAAACGCGTTTGATGGACTAGAACTTAACTTATTTACAGCTCAGACGCTCGATTTTCAAAGGAATTTTCAGGCGTCATATTTTTGTGCTTAAAGTGGACTTTACTTTCTTCATGAGACAGGTTCTAGACGTTACGCTTAACATTTAAACCAATCTGAATCTGATAAACTTATGTCTATCTGCAACCAATCATAAGACATAGTACACACGTCTTTGTACTTCATATTGACTTTTCGCAAAATACAAAAGATCACCGATAGACTGAAAGTAGTACATGTCTAGAACTTAAACTAATCTTCCTCGACTTCCATACGTTCCCGGTAAATATCGAGATTGTGTAAATAACCATAGGACTATAAATAGTGATCAACTGCTAGCAGGTAACGTTAATTTCTTGCAAAACGGTAAAATCGATGCGATCTGAGTGGTTACTGGTGTTACATCCGACACTGGTTTGATCGAAGTGAGATTTGGTAACTTCTAACGAATTGATCACGAGACAGAAATTCGAAGATATAAACGGTCATGTTAATAATAATAATAATTTATTCTCAAATAACAGTTTGTTACTTGGGGCATGTCAGTTTACTGACAAGATCAAATTGTTACAAATGATACAATTTCCACCGTAGTAAGTCACTCATCTGGGTTAATAGTTTATAAGACGTAAATGTAGATGGTTTTAGTCAGTATCACAGTTGGCGCGCTTCATGAAAGTTGCGTTGTGACGTGCAACTGATGGTCGAGGATAGATCCATTGAGGGTGGAAGCTTTTAGAAATCGCAACCTTATATCGCTCTGGAATATCTAAGGCTTTAAGGATTGTGAAGGACAGGGTCACCCGTTCCGTGTCTCAAGGGGGCTGAAAAATGGTGCAAGAAAAAGGAAGGACGAGAAGCAGAGCAGGCAATGTTCATGAAGGAATGGTCAAGGTATAACTACTCAGCCTAATTCTATGTGTAAACAAGTTATGAGTGGATAAACAACTGACAAATGGAGGTTGTTCAGAAAGAAACTGAGAGTATGGGATTATGGTTAGTTATAAAATATAGTGCTAAAAAAAGTATTATGATCCACAAATGGCTGTCTCCCTTTTTGTCGAAGCTATTGGAGCCTTTTATTTAGATTTTATAGGGTCTTGAGTAGGCTTCGTTTTTAGCGAATTGTTTAGTTTGCTTGTAGTGGGATTACTGGGTAGGAATTAAAACTAATTCAACGTTCTAAACACGATTCAATGAGGTATTTTGCATGATAACTCAGCATCAATACCATTGGTCCATGGCATTCCACTAGACCATAAGGAGCTGTAATTAGACAAAATGTTCAGCCCTACAGACATGGGTGGATTGAAGTTATCTCCCTACCATCATGTTTGCTGGTCAGTAACGCCATCCTCTCCCCTTTTGTGATGTTAGGCCCTCTTACGTTTGTGATAAGTGTGAATACTGATATAATCAAAGGCCATAGTTGGAATACACTGTCTCTACCATTTCCATGTTACAAGCAAATCAGATAGTTAAAGCATTTGTATTATGGGTTAGATGTCCATTTAGTATATCACACTGCTATGAAGATAACTAATGGTGAAAGTTAGAAAAAAAAACAGGTTAGATTATATGTGGTTTAAAGATAGTAGGGACTAAAAAAAGAGAAATGGAACTTAGGAAGAATAATGTATATTTAACCAGTAGAGAGATTTGAGAACAATTAATAATAGGAAAGGATAAACCATATGTTCTGTAATTCAGTTATATTCATACTAATAATAGTTGGGCTAGATATTATGTAGGCCATAATAAAGTGTTTCATTGGTGGATGGGAGTTCGAAGAAAGATTGAAGCTCTTTAGAGTCTAGAAACAGGGTTATTAGCATTTTGAATCTGGTAATTGTGTCACAGTTACGGATAGGCATTGGCAACCTGTTCCACAATAAACTATACCGTACTGTAAAAAACTTACAACTCATTTGTTTTAGGTGTTTAACGGTAAGTAGTGTATATGCGTTGTTTCTTAGTGCATAGGCTGGGTCGTGGATAATAGTCTGGTAGGAGGTTAAAAATGAGAGTCCATATATCGCTTTGTCGAGAAATATTAAATTATTCTTGAGCCTACGGTGCCATAAAGGTTCTAAAGAGAGGTGCTTATACACATCTGTGTAATCGACATTCGAGTTACTTTCTAGAAGTTGGCGTGTGAAGCGTCTTCGAACGTCATCTACCCTTGTCTTGTCTGTGGTATTCATATTAGAGAAGATAAAAGAGCAGTATACCAGGGAACGTCGTACACATCTTTTGTAGAGAGTAAGCTTAGACTCTGTTGTGAAGAAACTTCTTGTTGTGAAGCCAACTTGCCGTCCACAATTAGAAATAATAGATGAGGCGTGTTCTTTCTAGACCGTGTACCGATTTGAGTGCTTGGACTGTTTATTTATTTAAGTGAAGTTGCAGTTTATAGGGATGCTTTCCAAAGTGCATGATCCCGCACTTGTTGAGGTTAAATGGTAATTGCTTTTTTCACTCCAGATAGTTAAGTTATTGAGGTCATTTTGGATCTGGGGTACACTTTCGCTTAGGGTCTCAGGTTTATAGCTGTATACTATTTTGAGATCGTCAGCATATAAGTATGGTTTCCCAAATGTTATGATGTTTCATATATCGTTTATACCCGTGCGTTGAAAAACACCGAAATATTGTTCTGGATCACAATAAATTTCATAAAAGACACTCAATTTTTAAGCTTTTAGAGTCGAAACAGGAAACAACAGGTTAAAGGCAAAATAGAAATAAGATGTTTGAGGTCAAAATTATAATAAACCGATAACTTCGGTGAAATAAATATATCGAAATCCAGTTAAAGATGGATAACGATTACAATAACAACCTACATTAAGTCAAAAACTGAGTTTTTCTCATAACAATTGTAAGGTGTGCAATGAAAAGGGTTGAAAGAGCCCAGGACTTGTGAGGAATAAGCTCCAAGAACAGTCGTTCATATGTTTCCTTCTTATTTTCTAAGCCTTCTGCAATAATCAAACATAGTACTTGAGAGGATGAAATAGGAACTGTCTTTTAGTATTCATCGCACGACTCCAAATTATAAATAAAAGCAATCGGACCCCACCGGACATTGCTAACCGTTTGAAGGCTGTTGGCCGAGGGATGCTTGTTAGGTTCGAATTTTTTGCAGACAACGTTTGAGGTTTTGCGCCATCTTAATAAGGTGGCAACGGACTGTGGGTATTAAAAAACCCGGAAAATATGT